AACGCTGGCGGTACTCGTAGTTCGCCGGGAGGAACGCGGCTCGGAGCTGTTCACACAGCTGAGTCCAGGATGTGAAACATCCAGGGAATGTTGCTTCCCGTGAGTACACCCAACTCTTAGCACGGCCGCTAAGGTTGGAGAGTGCAGAAGCAACACGAAGTCGCTCGGTCGAGATCAGCGCCGCGTCCATCGCGAGCTCTACTTCTCGAACCCAGAAGTGAAGGTTCTCGCCTTCCTTCCCTTCATGCGGCTTTACCTTCAGCCGTATAGGCTTCGGGTGAGGCGGATTTGCTTCCGCTGCCGGAGCCTGCAGGTTCTCCCGCACATGCGCGATGAGGCCCTGCTCGTACGCGTCGAATGCATTGACGCGCTCGAGCTGCTCAGCCGGTGTTGACACCACCAGGCTCTGCAGGGCCTCCATCCCGAAGATGCCTGCCATCTTCCGAACCGACTCGAACTGAGAGTCGTTCAAATGGGAGAAGTCGTTCCTATCCATGGCAACGAACTTCGGAGGTTCAGGTAGTCTACCGGCGATGGCGTGGATTGACTACAAGTGCTACCAAGTGTGACGGGGTCACACAGCACCTTGCGCTAGAGGAAGTTATCTTCCGAGAGTATACAAACTCTCAGTGAACGGCAGTTCACAGGTCCCCTCTTTTGTTAGAGAGAGCGAAGTGACCCAAATAAGGTAGATTGTAAACTGAGTATATTTATAGGTAGGTTAAGTTTGGGTTTAATACAAACTGTTAGTTACCTATAGAAATGCAATGTCATTTAACCAATGGTTGGCTTTGAACGACCTTGGTACCTTGTACCAAATATCTCGGAGTATGACGTGTCATACTCCTGAAGTGTGAAGTGTCACACTTCATGTAACCAGGGTACACTTAGGGCTACGTACCCCGTTACACGTTTTGTTAAGTAAAATAAAGATAAAAATAAGTGATCGTGTTCTATCAGAAAAAGGCTGGATTTGAAGGCGTCTGCGACCGCCAACCATTATACTCAGGTAGACGAAGAAAAAAGACTAATCACCAGGGAAAAATGGTAGACAGCGACCACGACGACGACGATGACGTGTGGCTCCTCCAAGCGCTTGCTAAAATGCAGGAGGCGGCAGCTCAAAAGCAAATAGCACTCAAGGAACCTATACCACGGCTATTGAGCACAGAGACCCCCGAGTAACTGCTAGTGAAGCCCAGTTTTCGTCCGTGAGTGTAGGAGCATTGATCTTGCTGTCCCAACCAGCACCACTTAAGTCACATAGTCTCTTGAATACATCGTATTCGTACATCAGTCTTATGTATTTAGTTTTGCATTGGTCTGCCATATAGAATAATACGGTCAGTACAATCGTGTCGGACAGCTGAAACCACTTACCTTTGTCAGCAGGGATTCCCTCTTTCGCCAGGCGCGTTACGATAAGCGCCCAGCCCTTTGACTTGACACCTTTGTCGCTTTTAAGGAAGCATCGCTGCGCGCTGCAAGGTAGCACTTAAGCAGCGCCTTTTCATCCACACGCCTCCAGGTCGCCCTTTGTTTCTTCGTCTGATGCTCCATCCGTTGGTTTTAAAACTACTGTCTCTGTTTTATGAGGCAAAGGAGGACGAATCAAAATTCAACCCAGAGCTGAATTTTGAAACCAGTCGTTTGAAGCTATCCTGCTGGATGTCGTTTTTTGTGTTTCTTAGCGGAATAAAGCTGGTTGAGACATTCCGGCTCTTTAATAACAATTACAGCTGGTTTAAGCTTAGATCGAACACGGCCTGAAGCTTTTCACTCACGTCTTCCGACCTATTCGAGCTTGCTGAATCGCTAAATTCCACCACAGAGCGAGAAACATCCCAACGACGACGCTGCGGCCCTGTAGATGTGTAGTCATTACCAGCATCCTTGAGCAAACGCCACCAGAAGTAAAGACAGACGAGCAATCCGCAGTTGTAGCATTCTTTTTGTATGGGACTGTGTACCGCCACAATTTGATGCTTTTCCGGGAAGCACTTTTCGTTCAGTTCTTCAGCCAGCTCACACAGTAAGTTATGTGTCCGCAAGCACTACCATGAAAACATAGATCAGGTTATCAGTGTACCCAACAGCGAGCTCGAGTGGAGTACAGATTACTCCACCCCAGGTCAAATGAAAATCCAGGTAGTTTACCATACAACCACGCATTTAAAACCCGTTTGCCCAACTCGGCCGCATATTTGTGTCGCTGCTATCATTACCGCTACAGCTCGTCGAATCGTCGTCATCCTCCTTTGCTGACGAAACGGCAGCATTTGGTGCATTTGTGAAACGTGTCACGGACATTCCACTGCCTTCGTCAACTTTCTCTGTAAGTTGAGCGTAGAAAAATTGATCTACATCAGGTCCTCGCTCCGAAAGACTCTCTTCCACACTGGACTTATCCATGGCACTTCCGGTACTTGAGCTTTCCTCTACATTCATTTGTACTGCTCTTTGCGTTGCCCGGATCACATTGAAATGAGTCAGTTATCCAGCACGGATCCGCCAAGCACTCTAATATTTCATGGCCAAACATATCCAATACGTAGCCAAAAACATAATAACAACATGGTAAGAAACATGCTAAAATCATGGTCAATGTAACAAGCTGACCACATACGGGTTGGGCACGTACACTAGAAATGTTTGGCAAGCAGTGGCACTGCTTTGACGGGTTATGTGATCACAAAGCGACCCTATATAGATTATAAACGGATGACGTGTGTTAATTTAGAGAGCACCCACGACCGGTATTTGACGGAAGCTCACTCACCAGTTCATAATACGCACGTTGATGGGGGACTGGAAGGAGGCTGAGGTGAGGAGCGGGGGTGAGGGGATGCTGTACGGAGAGGGGTCCTCGCCGATGGATTCTACGCGACGACAGGAACGAGGGGGCGCGATCGATCTTCTCGCGACGCGTGGCAGAATCGGTGGTAAGCAAATTTGAAACTTGAGCTGGTAGTATCGACGCTGCGTCGTTGTCATTCCATCCAAGCTGCGAGCCATGATTTGCTCGCTTGTTGCTTCTTTGAGAAGACGATTCTTTTCTTCCGTTTCCTTTGCCAGTTTAGCAACCAAGGCGATCAACCCAGTTTCCGTCTCGCTCGCCTTTTTTGCAGCTTTTCTTCCGCCAGGGCGATGCCGTTCAGGATCATCCTGAGTGACCGCCGCGTCCGTGTCACTTTGGCGTTCCCGCGACTTTGCCGTCAGAGACTGAATCCATTTTGGCGAGTGCCGAGAATTGACCACACCGCTTGGCTCTTGAATGGGCCGTTATTCTGCTCGCGGTACAGCACATGAGCATCGAGGATTTTACCCTCCACAGTTTTGCCACTCTCATTTCGTGCTACAATCGCAGCATAACAACCGGCAAACTTGTTGTACGCAGCTTGCAGGTTGCGCCAACGGGTTTGCAAGCTGTGAACACCCCGCTGCTCGTGTGACGGAGTCGCACCGCTGCGACCAACAAATTCCTCGTGTACTTTGCTCCAAAATGCGTCTCTCTTTTGCTCATCACCGACGACAGGGTCTTGGGACACATCCAACCACGAAGCAGCCAAATTTAAGTCTTCTGCTGCAATGAAGTTCCTTCCCTTTTTCTTGGACCCCGTGGTGGCACTTAACGCGTCGTCTAGCGGCACGGTGGTGACATTTTGAGCTTGCATGACACGCTCAGACCCTCCGTCTTCTGATCGGGCGGTCACGTGCTCACTGACGGAGCTGTGGTTAGAGATAGCTCCGCTCCTACCGGTTCCAACAGCACCAGACGTGATCACGACCGACGTTGCACGAGGTGGCGGGGTGGCAGAGGCTGCAAAAGAGCGCTGAGCAAGTTCAAACGATGGAGCCGGCGCGAGAGAGGTGCTGTAGACTGCAAGAGAGCTCAGATCGCAGTTGTTGGATGGTTTCAGCGCTGGCGAGACATCTTCGTGGGCTTGGGAAAGCGCTGATGTTGCTGGTGAGCCCATGCTGCTGTGGCGGCGGAATGAGCTGGTCGAGAAATCCACTGGTTCCGGTTTTCTCACAAATTTAAGCAAGGCTAGCTTCGTGAGCAAACTTGCTAAAAAAAATTAGTGTGAGTAAAATTTTGCGCAGTTTAATTAACATTTAACATGACCGGTGGAGGGCATCATGATTAAACTTATCGCTACTTTTGTGTAGAAAAAAAGCAAAATATAGTTTTACTCACCACCGGTGGAGATGCTCTAAGTGCGCCGCGAACTTAAGATTAACAAGTTAGGCTGTTAATCCGCGAGCTAGGCGTTTTCTTCTTTCGCGATGGGTGCTTACGTTCGCTTGTAGACTGATACAGCCAGACGAAGTCGATAGTCTCCTTTTTTGGTATCCACCTTCAGCCTCCAGGCGAGGTTGTGGGCAGGTTTCCAGATGAGTTCGCGATTGTCAATCCATTAGCAAAGATAAAATTCAAAATCATTCACATAGCGTTTTGCGTACACTTTTTCGACGTCAAACCATCGTTCTCCTCGACCTCGTCTTGCTCGGCTGCTGGCAATTAGACCACCACCGCTGCGCATCACATCGATCGAATTTCTGGCTTCTTTGGTGCTTGGTGGGCGGCTCGTAATGTTGGGATTGATAGTGAGCCAGTAGAAAGACTGCCATGTTTCTGACATGTTTCTTCCACTTATTAGTGGGTGAAATGCTAAGCTGACCGGTTGCCATTCAGGCAGGCAAAAGTAGTCTAATTTATTAAACTTCATGCTCTAATTACATGTTATACTGTACAGTACAAGCATTCAACAAGGCACGGAGTATAAATGTATGAATGGAGGGTACCGCAGGGGATATCTCATAGCGCATGGACATCCCATAAAGCACATTTTGAATGAGCCAATAAAATACATCCGAGGCACGAGATAACAGTGGTACATCTTATAAAGCACACACGATTTACAGTGAAATTTTAATTATAAAGATCAAATTTTCTCAGCCAGTCACTCATGATCGTCATCAACCTCATTTTCATTTTGATGGCGGTGCGATGGCACGAAAAGGACGCCCCCGCGAGACGGGAGACAGCGGCACAAAGCCAAAGCAGTACAAACGGGTTGATGTAGCTTATGAGTATAAGTTGCGCGCTCTGAAATATTTAGATACATTAACAATGGCGGCTACGGTAGCAGAACGTTTCCCAACTAGCAATTCTAACTCGAATCGACGACAGGTATAAGCTTGGAATAAGCTTCTTGCTGTCATAGAGACCAAGGTTGCTAGTGGGTCTCATTATCCTCAGCGTAACCGCACCCTCGGCATGAGTGCTACGCTGTCAGCAAAAGTAGAGGAACAATTGGTGGGGTAGACAAAGGAGCTGAGAGCCGATGGTGTATCTGTGACGAGCATGATGCTCACGTTGCAAGCCCAGGAGCTTTACAGGATCAGCAGATCACGCAGTGTGCGTTTAAGGACTCCTAAAGCTAGCGAAAGCATTTTCTGCGCCACCACAAGCTCTTCGCCGCCGAGCTCGAGAAGGGCAGTCTACACCGGCCGACGCAGAGCAAAAGGTGGAGGAGTTCAGCAACCAATTGCGCCTCAAGATGGACGAGCTCGGTGTTTCTGTTGATTAAAACGCTGACCAGACCGGTATGTACCAAATATTTACAGCGTGTGAGACGTGGGAATAACATTATCTTCTTGGGGTCAACTATGAGTATGTGCCTACCTCTACAATCACTACTCACGCAGCCAAGACTGTATGGGTGAAGTGAGCAGGGAAAAGCAAAGAGCGGGTAGCTGCAATGCTGTTGGTCGCAAGCGACGTCTCAAAACGAGAGCCTTTCCTCGACCATCGACATAGCCCGATGTCGCGAGGGAGAACAAAGTGATGCGCCACGGTTTTGGTCGCAGACTTGAGGCGAGGTTCACCCGCTTCAACAAGGTGTCCATATCTATGGCAATGCCCTGGGTGGTGGAACAGCGAGCTGTCTTTTGAGTTTCTGTCTGTACACTTCGGTCCGCGACTGAACATGCACGTGCCTATTCTTCTGCTCTGGGACGACTTTTCGGGACACTGGCGGAAAGATGTATTAACCTTTGCTCGTCTCCTCAATGTCGTGCTAATGAAGGTGCCTCCTGGATGCACTTGCGCGTGCGAACCGACAGACGTAGCATGGACAAGCCACCAAAGAATTTTAAAAGGGAGCAGTGGGTAGAGTTTATATTAGTTCAAATTCGAGCGGCATCCGCTGGGTGCACTACTTAAAAGATGTCGTTACCAACACGCCTAAATGTGGTTCGCTGGATCACATGCGCGTGGACATTTCTCACCCTTTCTACAATCACTGGCGGTTTCAAGAAGGCCAAGCTTGCGATCACCACAATGCTGATGCCACCACAGCCGACACCACACGCACCAGCAGCATCAGACTTGGGTCCACTCGTCAGGCTACTACTGCTGAGCAGCGTTGCGCTACAAGCTGTTGATCCAGCGAAGGACATCGACTATAACGAACTCAACGGCGAAGAAGATGGTGCCGAGGGCGACCGCTTGGCTCAAAGCGACGCTTCTTAGCTTGGACACGTGATCAAAAGATTACCGGGAGGAATCAAACCTCCATTCTTCCACAAGGGGAACTTGTCCGTTAAGCTACGGTAGTAGGTCTTCACAGGACCTGCGCAGACCATCAGAAGCACCGTTAAAGCTTGGATACACGTTGTAGAAATACCTTCTCGTGTTGGATGGGGAATAAACCATTGCTATGACGGCTGTCCTCTTAGGACACCCAGTCCCCCCTCAATTCGCTTCGCGGTCAATCCAACACTGAATGACTTGGCGAGAAGGCGGCCGAAAATATCACCAGCCAATGCATGGCTATAGACCTTGCCAGTGGACAGGCTGTTTACTGGATTTTTGCCGGATGGAAATGAAAATTTGCAAGATTGAAATGCACATGTATTTTCTTATGAGCCCATATGATGGGTGAACAGCCATGTACATTGACTGTGCTCTTTGAAATATCCCCTGCGGTAATGGGATTTGTTTTACTTCTTTCTTACAATCCAACCAGCACGTATCATTTACTCGCATGCGTATAAGCAATGAGCTAGTTTTCTACAAATCCGAGCTTATGAACTAAATCTATCTGTGTACTGGAGGAAATATGAAAAATCCACAGTTTTTTTAAGGATAATCCACACCGACAGATCCACAGTCCACAACAATCGACGACATTGTACTGTACCAGTGCAGTGTTATATTGACGTCATCGCCTGTAAAACGATGACGCCCTCGGAGGCTTAAGTACCATTGGTAATTAAGCCTCCGAGGGTA